TTTTTTTTTTTTTGGTTCCCCCCCCCCTTCTTCTGTAGCCAGGCTGGGAATTGCTCCCGTCGCGGCAGCAAAGCAGGCCGGGGCTGGGGTACCCCGCTGCCACCCTGCTTTGTGGGGTGCGGGGAAAGTGCGTGGCTTTCGGCTGCTACAAAGGGAGGGGAGCGCCCAAACTGGCCGGGAGGAAAGCTGCGGTATAGTGGCTTTACGGTTTGCTTAAGCAGCTTGGAGACCCTCCTTGCAGCCGAAGGAAATCATGTCACCGGCATCCTCAGCAGACGATAAAATCAGATTTCCCTTTTCAGGGCCGTCTGGTCCCGCTCTTGGGCTTTTCTCCATTGTGCAAACACACACACACACACATCAGGCAGGGAGGGCTAAAAATAGGCTTTGGGTAGCTGCTTGGGAGATTTCAGGCTGAGAGGTCAAGGCTAGGCTGTTTCTGGCCCTGAACTTGGTGAGATGGCGTGAAGCACAGACCCATATCACTGCCAAGCTCCTCTTTAGGTGGCCGTGCCATGTTTTGCTATCTCTTGGTCCAGAGCCCCTGGTTTTACTTTTAAACCCAGTTTTAAAGAGCAGTCAGGGGAGAGCCATGCTTTGCCTGGCTCAGTGTGCTCGCTCCCAGGAAAACAGCAGCCCAGCCCTGGAGATACGCATGGTGAACTAAGTTTACCCCCTTCCCTGTTAGGATTTGTAGTCCTCCAGAATACAGTTTTAATAGCTTCATTTTTGTTGTGAAGTTGAACATCCCCTTTCACTGCCCTCTGCAGTCCTCAAGCCCCAGAGCTGCTGCCGGAGATGCAGCTGTGATAGGGAAAACAGCTGTATGTGTGTTCCGGTAACATGGAGCTGACACTGAAAGGATCAGGCAAGGGAAACCCGAGATTTTTGCCTGGAGAGATGAAGACGTCGTGGGAGGAAGGCGGCAAAGCTGATTCCCGCGAATGCGTTATCCTATTAAACAGTGACATTTAAATTGGCTGCCGTCATCTGAAACTCAGCTGAAACTCGGGAGGCAGATGGATTACAGCCCCTCCGCTTGGAAATGCAGAGTCCTGGCTGAAGCATCCAAGCCTGTTTCCTTCTGTGTGAAGGGCTCAGATAAACAAGAAGTACATCTTTTTTTTTTTTTTTTTTCTCCATTTCCCCCTCCCCCAGTAAGGGCCAGGATTTGGGTCATGTTTATCATTTCATTGCTGCAGTTGTTAAAAGAGTACATCCATGAATGCAGTTTTAAGGTTAACCACTGCACTGATTTCCTTTACAAGACTCTTAATTTCAGCTAAACCACTCAATCCTTTACCTAGTAACCTGCTGGTAAAATACAGTCTTTGTGGCAAAAGCTGCATCGTTCATCCTTGTATCTGCTCGTAAGCAGGCTCAGGCTCTTTATTATAATGGGGGCAAAGGGAGGTTTAGGTGAAGAACTGCATGATGAAGGGGAAAAAATGTACCCAGACCTCTCCCCCACTCTCAAAACACAGAAAAAGAACAGCAGAATAGGAAAAAGAATTTATGCAGGTTTTGAATCTGTGCAAGTTAATTATCTATGCAAATTGTCAGAAGTTATTGGGAAGTGCTGTTCCTGTAGCTGTTCTGAGAAATAAGTGATGGATGTCAAATGGAGCCATAACTTCTCCTTTGCCTGTCAGGGTTGGACTAGTCTGTGTGCAATTTCAGATTTCTATAAAATCCTTTCCTGAATTCACAGCTCACTTTTGAATGGAAAACCTCTTCCTGTGAGAGTTGCATTAGACCCTCCATGATGGAGCTAAATAAAAGTAACGGAAAATGTAAGGCTCATCCTGCATTCTTCCAAGAGAGATTTGGTGGCTTTGTAATCCAAATGTATGACATAATAGATGTGTTACAAAGTTCTAGTTCATATTTTATATGAGATCTGAGTCCTGACTTTCCTTGAAATGCATAGATGGGTCCTAAGACATTTGCAAAAGCAACTCTATTTTGATGACCTCCATTGGTTTACATCTTTTCACTCTGAAATGTACAACAGGTTTTTGTAACATACAGGTTACATGATTGCCTTGAAATAGCCACAAACAATGTAGTTACTCTCTTTAACAGTGCTATACATACATTTTATTATATTTTGGCTTCTCCTTTGGTAAGTAAGGAACCCAAATTTACATCTCTGTGAACCCAATTACATCTCTAACTTGATCTCCTGATGGAGTTCAGACAGGCAGATCGGAAAAGAATTTGCTCTGTGTGTAGTTAAAAACTATAGCTATCATTAACCACCAAAATTAGGAAAGGTTCAATAATTTTTTTTAAACATGAAGAATAATACATATACCAGTTTTCATCCAGATCCCCTCAGAACAACTGTTTGAGGTGGAAGTTTATAGATGCCAAAGTGACCTAGAGAGAGAGGTGAATACACGTTACCAAGGGAATTGGTATTAGAGCTGGAATAATTTATATTCCTGGAATAAAATAATGCATTAATCTGCATTATAAACTGTAACTTCCAGCACAGTTAGAGTGCATGTGTGTTTGGAATTTTTTCTACATGGCATATGCATTTTAGCGATACATATTGTTATTGGGACTGGATGTGGTTGAGTTAAAACATTCTCACAGTGCATATATATATACGCAGCACTTTGGGATTCTTTGAATATAAAGGGCAGATCATCAGCTGATATCAATTGCCGTAGCACAAATGATGTCAGCGGAGCTGTTTTGTATCAGTTGAGTGTCTCTCTTTAAATGCCAACCTTTATGCTTTTCACCAGTCTTCCCTTGCTTCAGTTAGGAAATTTAAGGCAATTACTAAGAAGCATGAAATTGAGTATGTTAAAAGACAGACATAGCGCATGCAAATATTGTATCTGTTTTTAATGGCTGCATACAGCTCCATATTCTTCAAGAGCCCGACTTGCAGAAGTCTAGTGGCATCATTCATACCACAGTATTCATAGCTCTACTCACTGAGCTGAAACGTGCTATTCAGTATTTCTCATATTGAGTCTGACATCGATCACCTGGGAAAATTTCAGCTGTGAGATGAAGGGATGGAAGTGAAGTTGGCAAGTCCTCATTGAGATGAAGTTTCATGGCTTTACCGGGGTAAAGGCTGGAACTGGACCCTGATTATCTATTAATGCCTCTGAAAAGAAGAACAAGTGGAAACAGTGAGATCTTTAAAACTGTCTCTGTGCACAATGTGTACATTTGTAGAAACAACTGTCTACGCTAATGTGAATTAATAACTCGGGTATGTTCAGCAATGCTTAACACTTGCTTGGTTTCTCCATTTTGAAAAACTCTGTAAATGTGAGGTGACTGTGGATTTTAGGGCCTGCAATTTCACAGATTCCACTAAGTACTTCGCTGAAACCATATCCTCTTTGAACTGTACTTTCAGGGCATTTCCTATCATTTGCAGATTGAGGTTATTACTGCTAAAATCTTCACATTAAGTGACCTTAGAGAACATTCCTAGTACTTTTTTTTTCATAGCACTCTGAAGTTTATCATGATACACTGAAAAAGACTTGCTTGGAAGTGAAAGGCTGGTTCATTCTCTTCTTTTAACTCAATTTTTGTGTTGGGACAGTCAGGACAAAGGAGTAGCCCACGCAAGGACACATGATGCGTTCTGCATGATGTGGAAAGTGCCCAGAAGCTAGGGTTGATAGTTAAGCTCTGAAAGTCAACAGAAGCTGAAGAATTGTATTTATTGCTCATTTCACCTGCAGATAGTCTTTTACCAGCTTTTACGTATCTGAGATGAAATCTAGTGAAGGAAATCTGAGCTGGCTATAGAGATACCTAGGGAGATCTCCAGCTTCTCTCCTGGCATTGTAATAGCCACTGGATGTCATGGGAGCTGTTATATTTAAACCCCAAATTATTAACTTTTCTATTTTTCCATCTAATAGTGATGAAACAATGTATTTACATCCATTGCTAAATGGTCCAGTGTTTTGTAAAATTCAAGGCAAGTTTTTAAAATAGCTTGCAGTGTAACCAGTTGTGAAACCAGTTTGAAACCAAACTAGATTAGTGTCTTGCTGGAAGATACAGGTGCTGTGTGTTTATTATTGCAAAACTTCAGGGGAAGGCTGCTTTTGGAAATACACTTTAACCACCTACTGTTTTTAGCATCAAGGTCTAAATATGCAACGAACAAGTGACCAGATGATATTTTATTAAAAAACCCCCAAACACCTAAAGGTGCAAATTTGGGGTCATCAATAGAGTCAACTTCATGATCTCCCTGAGTTCAAACGTCCTAATCCCTTATCACTTAAGTAATATGCTGTCTTTATTGCCTCTCCCCCTCGACCGTCTTGTCTTTCCTTTTCAACTGAATTTGGAAAGATATTGTCTGTGGGTGAAATATCTCCTTGTAAACAGTTTTTCACATAACTTTGCACAGGATCCTAGCCCTGTGATACAAATCCATAGCAGTCACATATTCTGAACGCTTTTTTAGTATGGGAACAAATCTAACAGTAACCAGTGTTTTTCAACTAGCGCTGTTTAATTCAGTTGAATTAGATGGAGTTAGTCTTGCTAGCATTCTGTTAGCACGAAGTGTTCCTCAAACCACAGTCACAATTACATGTAATACATGCTAGCATTAATTAGCAAACTCTGTCTTGTCCTCTTGCAATATTCAGTTGTGATTTACCTTCATAAGACTCAAGGAATTGCAGTGTGACCTGTTCTGGTGTAATTTGATGTTCCTGAAATTACGGTGGAGAAGAGGAAGAAAGGAGGGTGGAAAGAACAAGTGTTCATAAACACTGCTCTTGACCTATATTTCTTCCTAGCTGGTGCCCTAAATTAATTCACAGAGAGCGGTACATACTTGCTCTTGCCCAAGTTTGATCCCATGTTTTTGAAAAAGGAGAAAACCCTCTCGGGTGATGAGTGAGACAAGACAGAATCATCCCTTAGTTTCACAGTGAGCCTGTAAGGGAAAGGGATTATATAGGAACTTCATCTATTTTGAGATATGGTATTAATGGCAGGATTAAGTCTTATTTGGGAATGTAGGTAATATGATAAAAATTCCTTTAAAATATAACTTAATAGAAATTTAGACTTTTTTGTAGATGTAACTTGATTGAAGTGATCCTACATGAAGGAGGGTAGTAGATTTGCATTTGAAGTACTTGGTGCAGTAACACGGAACTAAGCCACAAGACCTGCAAGGCTTTATGGAAATATTTAATTTCCCCTACTATAAATAAAATTCCCCATAAAGGAAATGGGATACTCTGTATTATATGAAATTAAGATTGTGGCAAGGTGTCTGCAGTGTAGCATAGGTTGTACACTATGGGTTTGGGTTTTTTTTCTTATTAACTGCTTTGTATTTAGGGACTGCGGCATTATATTAGCATATTAAGAGATGTCAGTTCCCTTTCTAGACATATAAATAGAATTGTGGGAATAGAGAAGCCACAAGAATTGATTGCTTTCTTATGTTTAATCTGGTCCATGCAGCTAGGAGCCGTGTGTTTTATTTAGTATTGCTGTGATTTAAATGCTTATTTTGAACACTGACTACATACAAGCCACAATAATTTCGAAGTCCCACAATTTGGAACATGTGGTGACATTTCGAGATCGTGTGAGCTGCCAGATCTGAGATTAAAAGGGAAAACTGACCCTTTCTTTCCCCAAAAGTAAAAGCTCCTCTTTCACAAAGACAAAAAAGAGTAGAGTAATAAGAAAATTAAACTAATAGGAGAAGACAGCTGGAAAGCGACGTATGCCTTTGCCAAAATTGTCCCAGGGCTTTGGCGCTGAAGGATGCCAGGGGGTTGACTGGTGGGCGGCAGAGAGAAGGCACCCATTGAGTAAGCGATGCCATCCGTCCCGACCCCAAAGCGCACCCTCTGCTCCCACGGGAGACCGCCGCACCCTCAGCCGCCACGGGGCAGCGCGTGGGAAGGCCGCCCCTGCTCAGCGCCCGGCTGGGCTTGCGTGAAGCGGGTACACCCCGGCTCTCCGCCGCCCGTGGACCCTCACCCGGTTTTGCAAACCACGGGGGTGCCGTCTAGGGGGGAGGGCCAACGGAAGGCGCTCACCTGCCACGGGCTGCTCGCTGCCTCTG